ATCTTAATATAATATATTATAAACACGAAAGACTGTATGTATGGATGTTTGTTTCTCTTTAGCGCAAAAACTACTGAACGGATTATGATGAAACTTTAAAGTAATAGGTATAGCTTATGCATCAGAATAACATATGGACTATATTTATATTGAAATTTAACGCGGGTAAAACCACGGGACACAGCTAGTATAATGATAATAAGGGTAGTCCTTATGTACAGATAAAAATATCGTGCATTTCGTATATACTCCAAATGACCTTCGGGCAATACCTATTAGCAGAGATCGCTGGTCCGTTGGGCGACAGTTTTATTACTATAATATGTCCCCTAACGTGGACAGATAAAGAGGAGTTAAGTATTCAAAAATGTATCACACTAAATATAAAAAATACAGAAATTAAAATACGAGTAAATCACATCTCTTAATGGGACGCAGGAAGGGCAATCCGCTTCGGACTGCGTACTGCGCCTGAAGTACCCGCGGTAGTGCAGGCTTGTAGGTTGATAGATTTGGTTGCGGCTGATGGCATTCGGGAGGAAGATAGAAGCCACGGGACTGCGGCGAGGCATGTCCTCGGCGAAATGAGATAAGAGTTGTCTCCTGATTATTTGATAGAGCAGGAATTTCTAGGAAATTTAATGTATTATTTTAATTATTATTTCACCTGTCTACTCCGAAAATACAATAGACTAAATATACAATTAAAGTACACATATGTACTTGTTTAGTTAGTATGCAGAAATAGAACTGGTATAAGAAAATAAGAAACTAAGTACTATATACCTACTAAGAATTGGAAGCTTGCAATGACAAACTTTACAGTAAGTAGTAAATCAATAATATAGAGTTTTAAAAATGGCAAGAAAGTATAATAATATAAACAAAAAGAGGAACAAGGAGTGGAAATACGTGATGGACGATGACATTAAATACTATATACTCCAACGGCACAACACAGAAGCGAATCGTTGGAGTGCAGCATCCACTACATGCAAACCATTAGCACCCAAGACCGCAACCAAATTCCAGCTCCTGTATATACAATATGAATTTATAAAAGTGAACGATGTGAAATATTTATAGATACAAATTCGTTATAAATAAGTCTATATAATTCCGCAATGCTATAAATGTTAGGTAACCAAATCAAATATTACAGCCCAATAGTACCAAAATTAATCGGATTTTGTTTTTTGTATCACCATATTTAAATAGTGATTTGTGAATTTCAGTAGTCGTCATTCACGCGGCGTTCATTTGATGTGCCCCTAGAACGGCAGTGTTTCGTGGTAGTTTCTGCGCTATAGAACTGTGAAAGGCAGCGGTGCCGTATGTTTTCGCGGGGTAATGCATTCTGCTACGAAGTGCTGTGAGTTTGTTTGGTTTTATTTATATATGGTATTATGTAAAATGCAATTTATGCATTAGAGATTAAATAACTATAGGTATTTATATATAAAATATTTCAACTGGCATTTACTTGATGGAATGTGTGTTATATAAATGAGTAAACTTAATTTTAAAAATTAGCAACACAGTGGAAATACGTGATGGACGATGACATTAAATACTATATATGAAATGGACGCTGGCGGCGGGTCAAATTCGTTATAAATAAGTCTATATAATTCCGCAGGAAATCCGCAAACTATCCATGCCTATAGGTATTTATATATAAAATAAATAACTACAGCGTATCGAGCGAACGCTTTTTGTTTTTGTAGTCTCAAAAGCGAGTAATATCCGTTAATTGAATGAATCAAAGAAAACTTGTTACTTGTTTTAGTGAATTTTAAAACTCACTCTCATTTTACCAACCAACACTTAATTTAGTATCCTCTCCGATCGATCCCCCGTCCAATTCAAACGGGGATCGAAATTACGACGGCCTGAGCCGAGCTCCGAACCCCTAACGGTGCCTTCAGACTAAAGTCGTATCCATTAGGAGTTAGCCTTCAGCCGCTCCATAAGTCCTTCCGCAGGTTTGGAGTGCCATCTGCACTCGCCTCCTATCGTCCGGTGAAGCTGTAAAGGCCAGCTGCTACCAACAGCATTAGAGTAGTCCGAAAAAAAATCTTAATTTACCTAAACTCTATAGATTTGCAAGCTATAGGTATATATATGTATAGATGACGATTAAAATTTCAGGTACTGTCTGGTTATTTTTACAGTAAAAATCATAATTAGTGAGCATTGTTAACAATAGAGACTACTGATCATTGTTAGTAGGTACCATCTCAAGTCAACTTCCATACGGTTTTCCCGGTAAGACATTGTGGTTAATTCCTGGTAAATAACGAGTAGTCACGATGGGCTAACTGACCTGATCTATGTTGATCTAATCATCCTCCACTGACGTCCCGCCAGTTCAGGATGATTAGATCATTAGATCTACCATTTTTTATAGATGATAATGGGATGGAATGCACCTGCGCTAAAGGATTATGCTGGCGAGGCACCAATGGAAGATAATAAGATGAGCATGAGGAGAGATCAGTTGGCCTATCGTGACACATTCACCAGTCATTTATCTCGATAGTCTCGAGAGAGAACCTGACATTGCTAGCAGTGGTGTAATTAGTCCAGTTAGAAACACGCAGGTTCACCTTTCCATTATAATCCACACAAAAAATTAAATAAATAAAATGGCATTGTATTTGCCCATCATGAAAAACTTACCAGGATTGTTTCCAGACCACGTAGAGGTCCTAGTAGCAGACCTATATTACAAGTAACCGACAAATGGAGGAAGGGTATATGTAAGTTGTTTGTGCAACATGTTGGTAACTTTGGTATGGCTGGTCAAATATCTTTGCGAGTAGTTCTGATTCTTAGAAGTATTATATGTATGGATTGGGTATAATAAATAGATAAATAAATGAATATAGCATACCCATATACCATTAGCGTACTCTTAATATAGTGTTTATAAAATATCTGGCTATACTAGGAATTGTGTTGTACCAAATGATACCAAATTAGTTGTTAATGTGTGAACACGCTGATAGGACACCAACGAACATAATATTTTAAAGTAGAAAGGTGTCAACTCAAGTTAACTCAAGCTGTGCTGAATTCGAGTTAACTCGAGTTAAATTCTGCCTACTGGAGTTCAACTCTTTTTTTATCCCCGTTTCAATTGGGGGGATCCATCAGAGGGTTCGTGATTTCGATCGTTGGGTTCGTACCTTAATAGGTATGTACTCAAGTATTTTTTTTATGGGTGATAATGGAATAGTGCACCCGCCTGCGCTAACGGTTTAAGCTGGCGGGGCACCAGTGGAGAATGATAAGATGACCATGAGGTCAGGTTAGCTAGCCCATCGTGACTACTCGTCATTTACCAGGAATTTATCACGATGGTTTCCAGGGGGAACCGCGTGGAGGTCAACCTGACATGGTACACTGCTAGTAATGGAGTCATGAGTTCACATTACTAACAATCTCCTTCCCCCCGGTACTCTAGTACTAGTATTCTGAAGTTTTTGTTTTTAAACATGTCATGCGGGCGAGTTTCATTACTTGTAATAATGGGGTTTATTACAACTAATGAAACTGTCACCCGCACCATGCTACAGCGTACGTGGGATAAGAGGAAATCCCTTGTTTGGAACATTTTCGAATCGCCAGTGAGTGGCAGTGTAAAATGTAAAAAATGCTCGAATTCACCTAAATATATAAGAAATACAAGCTTGTTACTGAAACATAAAAAAAACACTCGAATAAGAGGAGTTGATCTGTAACCACGCATGCGGTCCATAAGCCCTTCTGCTGGTTTGGAGTGTCACTTCTGCTCGCCCTCCATAGTTCGGTGAAGCTCAGCCAAAGCCAGCTACTGCTAACAATATTAGAATAGTTCGAAGAATTAATTAAAAAAAAAACTGAGTCTGGTAACTCGACGTACAGGCAACTCGAGATATCTGAATTTCAACACATGTCATGTTTATTACGAGTTAGCACATCTCTACTTTAAAAGAAGGAAACTAAATTCTTTGCTAATAACCAGTCAATAATGACAGACATTGACCCTTGACACAGATATTGCAATTGTAGTCCTACCGTAGAGGCAGTATTACCTCTAAAGCTCTTTCTGATCTGTGCTGACTACTGTACTGTTACTGTTATATACCCGGTTGTCAGTTACGTCAGTTAAAGTCAGTTCACGTCACTCGTCAAGCATAAACAAATCTATAATTTACGATTTCGATTAGTTTTTATCTAATTTGTGTAGTAACCGTATATTATAATCCTGGTCTAGGTATACTTATTATACACATAATATTGAATATTTAGTTTAAATGGTAGGTGTATAAATTTAAAATTACATCTTTTACAGTAATGGATAAGTATTCGATACCCATTTTACCTACTACACAACACATATTGGACGATCTGTCTGATCTTAATAACATTCAACACGATTTACTTGAAAATACATCGTCATATAAAGAAAATGAAGTTTTGGAACACGCAAGTCATTGTTATACGCGTTTTAAACAACTCGAAGGAGATTTGTTGAAGCTAGATGACCTAAACATGAAATTGGAAGAATTGAATCGCAAATTGGTCGAAAATATAGACAGTATGAAGAAACAAACATAGTTCATAACTACTAAAATATCATTATAAACATATATATATTATCATGTCACTGTTTGATTGATATCAGCTACAAATACTATTTTTTCATCAAAGTTACACAATGGAGTACCCATTGTGTAACTTTGATTGGCTAACATACTTTACCATATTACCAAGTAATTAATCTTAATATAATACCTTTACTAATTACACAATTATTTCCCATTGATTATATATAAATGTTATGTATGGTATAAAGTTAACAATGTGGAATATTGTTTAAAGCATAACTATATGTTAATAATGTAAGTATATTATTAGCCACAATTTTTTTTTACCATTAACTAGATATAAGGATTGGTGTGTGACTGTTAAGTGTAATGGTAGTAATAAATTCAAATTAAGAACATAACAGTTTATAAATTCATTTTATTATACTTCCTAACTGTATTAACTCTTCTTGTGTTACTAGACCAAGATTGTGTAGACAAACTAAAGCAGCACCCTGTTCTGCAAATTTCTTATTTTTTTCCCAAAATGATGAGGTGTACTTATGACCATTGAATGTAATAATAGTACGGAATAATTTTTCTATTTGCTCTGTTTCATACACTGGAATCTTGTAGCGATTCTTTCCAGCCCATGCATGAAGGCGCGATTTTGGTAAATTGAGGTCATTAAAATTAGCCCGTATGAAACAGACCTGCAATATCAGAAAAGTATACCATATGTATTATAATTATTAGTGTAATCAGTACCATAAAATATTTATTATACAGTATATAATACTCCTATATATATATATATATATATATATATATATATATATATATATATATATATATTATGTATACTAACTTTCATTTGAGTGATTCCATCAAGTTCTTTTTCAGGTAATTTAATTTTTTTATTAGGTGGCTCTAGTTCTTCAGGATTAACTTGCCACCTTCCTTGAATTCCCAGTTTTTGATACTGGGATTGCTTTTGCTGACAGTAATCACCTAGTCCCCAAATTGAACTGAAATATATTAGGAAATTATGCCAAATAAAAATTATCCGTAACCTCTGGTTAAGGTAATAATAGTTAGAGAAATAGTTACCATATCTGCTCAAGAGTCTGACATTCTAGAAACTGCCTTCCTCTTGGAGTTTCTTGTAAATCTCTCAAAATATTTTGTATGCAGTATTTTGTATTAGATGGTGAATTATCATAATCAACTGCAAGTTTAAGGTAATCTTTAATTACTGTGTCCATAGGTAGTAAACCTTCTTTTCTAAAGATTGAACAATTCCACTCTGCTGCCCTTGCAATCATTACGCTGGTGCAACCTGTCTGTTCTTTAAATTTATATATGTCATTATGGTTTTCAATTTCTTTTGAGCCTCCACTAAAATATAAATAGTAATAACTATATAAAATTTGTAACTATAAATACCCTCTCAAGCTTCTAGAAGTTTAGCCAAAAACAAAATAGAACTTAATACTACTCTAAATTTACTTACTTAGCAATTACTGGTATAGATATATTATCTGCAACATAGTGAATGATGTCGGCATGCACACCATGTTGTGGTCTCTCATCACGTGTTCTACCATGTATTGCAATAGCTTTAATTCCTGAACTCACCAGTTTATTCACAAGATTTAAAGTTTCTTCTGGACTCTCAAATATTCTTATTTTACAAGTAACTGGAATGGAAATATTTTCAACCAATTCTTTTAATATAGCTTTTGCTTTTTCTGATTGAGCCATAAGGGCTACACCCATCCCACCTTTTATGGAAAACTCTTTAGGACAGCCCATATTTATGTCAATAGCAGCTACATCATTTTCACTGTAATTATTAAAACACTATAAATTAAATCCTTATTTATCAAGAATGTGGTGTGCACAATGATTACAGCCTAAATGACTAGAAATAGAAACTTGAAATTATTGATATCATAATCATAATAATATAAACCATGAACTTACACCATTTTTCCAACTTTCAGTGATCGTTCCGCATCACATGTTCCCAGTTGCAACACTACTTTCTGTCTTTCCTCTTTACATGTCCTAAACACAATTGTGCCATCTGTTTGGTCAACATAATCTACAGTATCCAGAATATCTGAAATTAATATAATATTTTTTACAAAACATTATACTTATCTACTATTATTTATTATACGGTTATACATGTACATGTATAACTGACTTCAAGTTGATTTAAAAATAAGAAAATTAGGGCAATTTAATTTTCAAGAGTATAAAAGCACATCACAGCAAAAGAGTGTTAAAGGGTTGTCAGAAAACAAAATATTTAGCGTTTGATGTTTCAATTAGGAATGACATTCATATTCCAAATTTATGTGGACAACTAATTTTTCAACATAAAGCCTGCTCCTGTGACATCTATTACCAAAAAAAAAATTAGGGAATAGTCATAATGATAGGAGTTAGTACTATTATTATTCTTTTTAGTATCATTTTTCTTTTTTGTTAGACTATTTAAGTGAAAGAGTTCGAGCAAAGTATGGATTATTATTATATCAAGGTATATCAGTTTTTAATCTTAGAATATAAAGAATAAAATTCAAAATTCATATAATTGTACTTAATGAAAAATAACACATAAAAAATTTATTACCATTGTATTTCCGTTTGGAACGTAAGAATTTCCAATCGATTAGTTCTTCTGTGTATACAATATCAGCACCATAGCGAAGAGATAATAGTCTCATCGGTAAGGTTCCTATTCTTACCATAGGTGCAAGTATTAATTTATTCTCGTAATTCATTGTAAATAATATAGTAAAAACGTGATCATTTAAATTATTTTATAAAGAATTCTTTATAACCTAAGAATGAAATGATAATTCTGATAATACAAATCAGTCAGGGCACAGTCTACTTCAGTCTAGTTTATTATACAGAATTGTCATAGCTCTGACAGTGACATATTTTGGCAGTCCATTTGAGTTTAATTTGATGGCAACATTGGTTGTTTTCATTGATCCTTGTAGAATCCGTTATTAATTTATTCATAATTTTTGTAGTTATGTTATAATATTTTAATTAATTTACGCCGACCCCAAATAAATGGGATAAGGAAGAAGCAGATGATGATGATCATGATGATGTCATAATATTTTAATGTCTATGTCGTGCCAGAACTTTATTTGATTTAAACTATTTCCTTATGGTCTATGTCGTTTTATATCACACTACAGGCAAAAATGTATTTGTAATAGAAGGAAGAAGATTATAATTTTATATCTTAAGTTATAGAATTATTATATTTTATATTAAGTTGTCATATATTTTAATATTAAGTAAATAGTTGTAATTAGAAAATATAAAACAGTTAACAATAATCGTTCCAATGGGTGAATGTTATTAAAGTTTGCATTTACGGGCTTAAAACTTTAGACCTTGGTAATCCATGCCAATAAGCTCTATTTTCTTTTAAGTTTTATGTAGATATAAGTTCATTAGAAATAATTGTCAGATGAAACAGTTCTATTTGACATATGTCTTTCATTTTTGTAATTTGTATTGTAAAATATTGAGTTATTGACTTGTTAAGTTAGGCTAAAAATAACTAGTGTCCATAGCCGTAAAACATATTAATAAAAAGCTCTATTTTCATATTTTGTAACATTGTAACACCTCTATTTAATCTGTAACTCATCGAACGGCAAAGAACAATAAAAACTAGAATATTTTTGTTTATTTTCTTGCACATTATATTATTTATAATAATTTTACATTTCGAAACAAATCAATTTAGTCGTTTATTATTCGTATATAATAATACAAGCACGGAACAGTAAGACGACTGAGCTGATTAATACAGATTTTTTTAGTTTCATTATTCAAAAAATATTCTCAGGATTAGCTATATTCGTGCATAGTTCTTATAAAAAATATACTATGAAACCTGCAGTGGCTGCTGACGAAATGTTTCCTGAAGGTGTGGGGCCGTATATGGACCTGGAAGAAGTATGTAATAATAAAATATTTAACTTTTTTAAAGTAGTACCTGATTTTTATTCCATCTAGAATGCATTGTGCCATAAAAGTAAATATTGTATCATAATACTAAAATCGGTATATATACTAACGGAAAACGGTTTTTTAAAGGCCTATGTGATCCATATAGCACCTCAGTAGTCAGTAATGATTAATATTGACTTAATGGAATTTGTTGCTAGTTTCTATTCTTTTATAATAATAAAATTTTTACATTATTATGGTTTCAGTGCCTGTGTAATGGCTACTATTATATTTTATGTTTATAATGGCTAGACACTATGGCTTATATAAAATATAGATAAAACATAGCAATAAAGTAAAAAATTCATATTTAGAAACCATTTACAAAATCCGGTAGTAATATTGTTATTTTCATTTTAGTGATAGTAATTATCCTGTGCCCTACAGTTGAAAATGTAATAAGTATAATTGTTTCAACTTTCAATACGATTTTAAATCATTAATTTTAATCATCAATCAAATTAACTTTCATCCAATACTAGATGGTAAACAATATCTGGAGTTATTTTTAAAAATTACAGTATAATTGACATTCTTATCTACAGGCTGGTGGGCCATCTAACCTGCTTATGGATTTAGCCGCTAACGAGAAAGCAGTTCATGCAGATTTTTTTAATGGTAAGTTCCCATTGTAATGTACACAAAATAATAAATTTCTTAAAAAAACTGCCTATATATAATAATTACAACTATATAATAAATAATAATGTTACTTTTAAAAGTATTTTGATACATCCAATAGGGGAATCTTCTATATACAGATTATTATTTATTAATCAATTTTCAATTCTGACTAGACAGAATTTTATGTCATTGTTTAAATGTTTATGTAAAAATCCGAATATTTTAATGTAAAATGGATAATGTTATGGACATTTAGTTTAAAATTTGCTAATTTGCAAACTTTGCTTTTTTGCATATTTTTATTCTGCCCTTTTTTTATAGATGGAAAAGACATTTCCTATAATATTGTATAATAATAGTCAACTAATAGAAAGCATGTAATTATTTTATGGTACAGTTTATTTCTTATTAGACTAATTAAATATTTTTTTGTTGCAGATTTTGACGATTTATTTGATGATGAGGATTTAAAATAAGTAATAAGCAGTTATTTTAGTCAGAATTGTTTACATTATTGTTAAGTTTATTAATGTATAATTTTACTTATTAAAGAGAATAAATTAGATCTCATCAAAAATGTATGGTATTGTTTTATTATTCCGTGAATTCATATGCGACGTGTCCAGCATAATAATTGGTTTGCAAATTGATTATTATTATTTCCCATAATATTGAATCAGAGCTTAAATGTTACGGGAAATAAATCGTATAATATAACTATTAATTTATAAAAAAAATTTTTTCCCCGAGTACATTTGCGATCAGTCCCAAGACTATAAGCGAATATGTTCTGTGATGCTGTCATGTAGAGTGGCTTCCCATTGGAAACCTTACTCATCTGCATCCCAGAGCTACTGCCGATCTTCTAGCTCCAGGATATGATGGCGTTTTAGTCGTCTCACATGCTGTTCTATGGTGAGTTGTCGAGCAAGTTTGTTGGCGTGATGAATCAACCATTCTTTATATTTGGCTGCCAAATTCCGAATTTCCTCCTTCACTGTTCTTATTTGAAGGTGGTCATGGACTTCAGTGTTGGTTATGTACCATGGTATTTGTGCAATGGTTCTTAAGATTTTGTTTTGTTGGCGCTGGAGAATATTTATGTTGGAATAACTTGCGCTGCCCCATAGTTGCAGACCATAAGTCCAAACAGGTTCAAGATAACTTTATAGATGAGGAGTTTGTTGTCCATGGACAGTCTAGAGTTCCTTCCTAGCATCCAATATAGGCTATTGTCCTTTAGCTGTAGCTCTTGCTTTTTGCGATTGATGTGATATCTCCAGGTTAGTGTACGATCAATGTGGAAGCCAAGGTATCTTACATGGTCACTGTGAGGTAGAGTAGATTGGCCTAACTTAACAGGTGGGCAGTCTTCTTTTTTGAGAGTGAATGTCACCTGGACAGACTTTACAGCGCTAACCCTTATTTTCCATTTTTGGAGCCATTCATTCAACTTGTTGAGGCCTTTCTGAAGGTTCCCCGATGCTAGTCTGGGATCTTTATTGCTTGCCAGTATGGCGGTATCGTCTGCAAATGTAGCCGTGATTGTCCCATGTGTAAGTGGTAGATCAGCAGTGTACAAAGTATAGAGCATTGGGCCAAGAACAGATTCTTGTGGTACCCCAGCATAGAGTTCTTTAAAATCAGAAGTGGCGTCACGTTCTATCACATAAAATATTCGATCTTCTAAGTAACATTTTAGTAATGAGAAGTATGAGTGGGAAATTCTCCTTGATTTTACATAGTAGAGCAAGAGCCCACGACGGCCAGACATACGTCATATTAGTAAACGTGAAAGTTCTTGTATGTGTGTCCCCAACACAGGTAAGAACGATCCCCAAACATGAAACCTGGATCGTGGTTACTTTGGCAGGTAACAGGTAACAAAGGTGTAAAAAATTTCATATCAAATTCGTTATTTTAAGAAACTCCATATTTTCATATATTGTTCTTAGCATTATTATAACTTGCGCTGCTCATTGCCAGACACTTAGTGTGGTTCCAAACCCCCGCCGGACCCCCCTAAACTATACTATTTTATAAATAAACTTACGTCATTTTAATAAAGCTGAACTTTATATATTTTATTGAGATTTCTCTCAAACTGAGTTTCCTAAATTGCCAGACAGGTTTCTTGGTTCCTTATCCTACCAGACTCATTGAAACCGTATATTGGGTAACAATGGTGTATACAATTTCATATCAAATTCGTTATTTTAAGATGTTCCATTTTTTAACATATTGCTCGTAACAGTATTATAAATTGCTCTGCTCATTGCCAGACCCTTAGTGTGGTTCCAACCCCCCGCCGGACCCCCTAAACTATACTATTTTATAAATAAATTTACGTCATTTTAATAAAGCTGAACTTTATATATTATATTATTGAGAGAACTATTAAACTGAGTTTCCTAAATTGCCAGACAGTTTTCTTGGTTCCTTATCCTACCAGATTCATTGAAACCGTATATTGGGTAACAACGGTGTATACAATTTCGTATCAAATTCGTTGTTTTAAGATGCTCCATTTTTTCACATATTGCTCGTAACAGTATTATAACTTTTTTTTATTTTTTTATTTTTATATACAATTTTCCACAGACATATTCGTCCGTGCCTTTTTTAATTTACTTTAATATTATAATATTTATTTAATTTCCACTTTTGTACAACTCCAGCCGAGATGTTACAATTTGCCTAACAGTGACACCGAGGCAGACCTTATCCGTCTGGCCCAGAACCACCGCTGGCCGGCCGGGTGAGTTGACAACATGCAGTATCACCCATCTTTATTAGGAGGAATTAATTTACCAATATGCATATACAATTATATAAATCTTACACTACTACTAATTTCACAGTTTTCATATAATTGTATATGCAATGTAAGAATTCATAATGTAACAATACACATTATGAATTCTTACACTGCATATGCAATTAGGTATATGAAATTTTATTTTAACATTATTTTCAAAGTTCACTATTAGTTATAGTCCAGGTTTTGTTTAATTATTGATTGTTTAATTTCACAGTTCACTTTTTGTCGTAATTCGGCAATTTTTTTTTTCCTTTTTTTCCTTTTTTTTTTATTATACTTTTAGCGAGCATGTTCCGGCCTTTCTAGTCCAAAGCGCCCCGACGATGCATCAGCTGTTCCGGTTTTCTATGTGCTGATTATTTTAGCGCAATCAGCGCATCAATGATCGCCCTGTCTCTATTTTTAATCGCCATCTGCAGTGAGTACTCACGAATGTCCGAGTGAGTCACGCCTTCGGCCTCTTGTATAAAACGAGCAACTGCGTCTTCTCGATTTCTCGTATAATATACGCAGTCGCCTGTGTGCCTGGTGATGGCTACCACGGCATGAGAGTAGCTGCCATGCACTTCCAAAGGTTTACTTCTAGTATTGATGATAATAACCCTCTCCGATGTCAGTCCCTGGGCCTCATGAATCGTCAGCACTTTAGACTCCTCGTCCATTCCATATCCCTCGGATATTAGCTTTGCTTTCTCCGCTTGGGTATGAACCAAGTATAGAGTCCTGCTTTGGTCCGATGGTATGACCTTGCTGTCGTATTCCATGAGTTTCAGCGACCTAGTCCGGAGGTTGGTCGAGTATATCCCGTTCTATACTTCTCTCAGGGCATACGCTACGTCCAAGTGGTTTCTGTGAGTGCATAGAAACTATCTACCTAGTAATACCTGCTGATTTGTTAGGTCGCCCGTCTGTTGTCAAAAAAGCCAGTGGAGATCTACGCATCTGTTTAGATCCCCGAGATTTAAATAAGGCGATTAGGCGGGAGCATTTTAAGTTACCCACGTTTGAGGAAATTACGTCAAATTTATGTGGTGCAAAATTTTTTACCACTTTGGATGCTAAGCAAAGTTTTTGGCAGGTCATGTTACACGAGGACAGTACCGATCTATGCACGTTTAATACAACATTCGGTAGGTATAAGTTCTTACGGATGCCGTTTGGTATCTCTTCAGCGAGTGAGATATTCCACAATAGACTTTATAATCACTTTGATGATATAGAAGGTGTTATTTTGTTCGTTGACGATTTATTAGTTTATGGGGAAACCAAGGAAGTTCATGATATACGTTTAGAAAAGGTGTTGCAGCGATGTCGTGATATAAGCATAAAATTAAATAGAAAAAAATGTAAAATAGGACTAACAGAAATAAAATATTTGGGACATAAAATAGCTAAAAATGGTGTGTATCCTGATGATGATCATATTAAGGCGATAAAAAATATGCCTACTCCTAAAAATAGAAAAGATATTGAGCGATTTTTGGGGTTGGTTACTTATGTAGGTAATTTTATCCCTAATTTATCGGAGAAAACGTCACTGTTACGCGAATTACTGAAGAAAGAAATTGTGTGGCACTGGGACGACAGACATGAACAGTGTTTCAGCAATATTAAACAGTGTTTAATTCGACCACCTGTACTACAATATTATAATTTAAATAAGCCAGTCACTATATCTGTAGACGCCAGTAAAAATGGTCTGGGCGCGTGTCTATTGCAAAACAATTTACCGGTATGTTATGCATCAAAATCTCTAACCAAAGCGGGACAATCATACGCACAAATAGAAAAAGAGTTGTATGCTTGTTTGTTTGCTTGCGAAAAATTCTATACATATATATACGGCAGATCAGATGTAACTATAGAAACAGATCACAAGCCGCTAGTAAGCATAATTAATAAACCTCTGTATAGTACCCCCGCACGTTTGCAACGGATGTTGTTACGTTTACAACCTTATTCATTCTTATTCGCGGGCTACCGCACCGTCGAACAACTCAGCGTAGCTGAAAAATAATTTATTTACAGCGGTCGGCGTATTCAAATAAAATAATTTTGGTACATGTACCGTATGGGAACGGAACTTTGGTATTTCTATATTTAACTCTGCCAACCACTGTCGGCCCACCAGAGTCGTAGTACCATTATTAATTACATATAAATCTAATATTTTTGAGCAACCTTTATATTTCACTTGTACCTCACAATACCCTAAAGGACAGACTTTAGTTCCGTCGTAAAATGTTAATATTACTTAACATTTTAGTAATGGTAGGTGACCAAAATTACAATTATATGTTTCTTTACTTATACACGAAAGTGCGGAACCCGTATCAATTTCCATAAATAAGTCCCTATTATCTGCAGTTAAATAAATGCTCACCGGTTTGTATTGCGATAACGACATCTGCATTACTGGCTCCTCCTCTAGGCTGTCTTCACCTGCTATCTCGTCGCTGTCGATTGATCAGGCATTTCCAATAAAATTCGTATTTCGCACGCCACCTGCGCCGATATTGTTATATCGTGAACCACGCCGATCTCTTGTAATTCCGCGTTGCTGACGTTGTCGGTGTTCCCTTCCGCCACTTCCAGACGTTAGCCTCTCCATGGGACAGACTCGACGCAAATGGCCTGTCGTACCGCACTTACTGCAGACATAACTGATAAATTTGCAGTTATTTGCTAAGTGATCTCGTCCTCCGCATGACCCGCAAATATCAATAATACGGGGCACCATGCCGCCCCCTGGCCTTGCGTTTGTTGTCGCCGGTCGTGTCCTATTACCGCCGCGCTGGCTTATGAATGATCCCATGGTATGCAGCCCGCTGGTCCCGCCGACTGCATTATTGGTTAATTCTGATGAGTATTTGCCTGAATCGACAAGGGACGCATCCCGTTCCGCCGCTTCTAACGAGCCTGCCAACGTCACCGCTTTTTCGTAGGTAATTAATTTTTCCTCTGCAAACAATCGTTGTCTGATAACGTCACTTCGAATACCACATACCAATTGGTCTCTTATATTATCCTCCAGTGTGCTGCCAAAATCACAATTTTTACATAACTTCTTTAAAACTGCTACATAATCACTGATGGATTCGTTGTCTGTTTGTCGCCGCTGTCTAAACTTGTACCGTTCTGCCAACGGTGATGGCTTCGGTTGGAGGTGATGACGCAATAGCTCCACTGCTTCGATATATGTTAATTCCGATGGTTTTTTTGGATTTGCAAGTGTCGATAACAATTCATATGCACTATCCCCCATTACAGATATTAATGTTGGTAATTTCACATTGTCTTTTATATTATTTGCTAGAAAATACATTTCTAACCGCTCCACGTAAGCCGTCCAGTTGCCCGTCTGAATGTCAAAATCTACAATTTTTCCGATCGACATTATGTGCACACAGTATTCCACGCGTTTTTCGTCACAAACTTCCAATTTAACTATATAATCTTCCGTTTTTTGCATTAAAAATCCTCGTCGCCAATGTAATAAATGAAACACGTCCGTAACCAGTGATATCTTATTTTAATGAGAGCGTCACACAAATATCTACCTACATATTTAGTTACAAAAAGGAATCACAATTACCTACATTACAATAGACAAGTGAAGGACAGACAGACAAGGTCATTTATTATTTCCTCTAGTACAGAAGAAACTTCTACTAACAAAAAGTGTCATATTTGTTCTGATTTTCATTTAGTTTATAAATGTGAACTATTTAAAGCTATGTCTCTAGAAGAGAAGTTCTCTGAGGTTTCCAAGCATAAACTCTGCCATAACTGCTTACGTTCAGGTCATCGTTCTAACTTTTGTAGACATCATTCATGTAAAATCTGTACTAAAAGACATAATCTACTACTACACAAACAAATAAATAACTCTAGAGTACATGTAAATACTTACCTTGGGTCTAACAATCGGGTTGCATCCTCTCAATCGGCAGTGTCACCTCAGGCAGTTACTCAAACACAGTCTGCTATATCTACTTCTACATTGTCTGTTCCTACTGTGCTTACTCCTACTAGTAATGCCTCTTTTAATCTCATTGTTGCAACTCCGAATCTTGTACTGCTGTAATAGAATTGATTAATACTAAAAATAATAAATCTTACCTTACTAAAGCTATTGTCGATGTAGGAAGTCAGTCTTCGTTTATATCTGAGGAAATGCACAGAAAATTAGAGCTTCCTTATCAAACGACGAGTCCTGTATCAATTGTAGGTATTAATAATAGTTTCTCTAAAACTTCAAAACTCGCTAATGTTAAGCTAAAATCACGATTCAACTCTTTTGAAACGAACGTATCTTGTCTCGTGATTCCGCGAATTACTTCAAACTTACCAAGTGTAGAGATAGACTATTCGCGACTGAATCTTCCTTCTGTCGAACTTGCTGATCCCACTTTCTATTGTCCATCTGAAATTCCTGTACTATTAGGAGCAGACATTTTCTGGGATATTGTTAATACTCGGCGAATAATTCTAGGGAAAAATAAACCTATTCTTCAAGATTCTAAACTAGGTTGGCTTGTATCTGGACCCACAGGCCAAGATAGTACTTCTGTAACTTGTAATTTATCTTATGACAAAAGAGTCTTGCTAACTAAATCTCCTACTTGAAAATAAATATAAATTAAATTTTATAGAATTAACCTATTACTACTTTACTTTATTTCAACTTGTAAAATACTGTAGGTACTACTATAAAGAATCTACTCAAATTTCTACACTACTGTAAAGAATATTTACTTATACATGTTATACTTATATTTACACTTATAAATAATACTATACTATAAATACTTACTTACCTTATTAGCTGAATCTCTGTAAAAAAGGATCCTTTCTCTACAAATATAATTATACACTATAAACCTTAATAATTACAGTCCTTGCTATAAAATATTTAAATGCCTTCTTTGGCTGCAGTAGCTGTAATATTGTATGTGTCTGTAATGAGCTGAACAGGTTATTAATGATCTAATAGAAAAATAGTAAAAATCTGTCAATGAATTTGCGAACAACGAAGGTAGGGGAGAGGGTGGCAAGATGGGGTACTTAAGCTTTCAAGGTCAATAGCATAAAAAATACCGTAGTGAAACAAATATATTTATTTTATAATTAACAACTAATTAATATAATTCTAATATTTGGTGTCATTAGTAGGTTTAAGTAACACGTTTAAGAAAAAAAATAAAAAATAAAAAAAGTGTTTTGCCCCGTCTTGCCCCATGGTGCTGGTGTTCAGCGCTGAACAAGATGGGGTGATGAGAATGATCATAGAGAAAGATGATTATTCGACCTTGAAAACTCGCAGACATGTATGGCTTTGTCATCATCATCATCTATTCCTGCGCAACTATTATGAGCCCATCTGCCACATAAAGCATGATATCCACCCTTCAATGGAAACGGAATATATTTCCTCGCAATACATACACGGTGTGTTCCTGACTTTTCTTGACTTTCATCTTCATATGATGAAACTCCTCGTCGTATTGCTCTTTTGGGTGATGGGCTGTTCTTCTTTAATTTTTTATTTTGAGTTTTTGTAGTACTTTTCTTCTGTTGTTATAATACATCTTTTCTCTTTTTTATCTCTATTTTCTCTATTTTTTTCTGTTCAGCAACTTTTTTTTTGCGAGCGATTACTTCTAATTCTTGTTTGTAAGGAGACGACGTGATAATTTCTGTTTTTCCACGCATTTTTTAACAACACGAGAGGACTTTTTAGAAAAAGGAAGTGGATATAGTTCTTTTGGAGAAGTCAAAACAAAGCTACCCCATCTTACCTGCAGAGCCCTTTTATATAAAAATAAAAACAAAAGCAAAACAGCCAACAATCTTTAGGAAACACAATGCATACCTTATTATAGGTTAGTTTAAACGTCAGTCCCAGCAACACCTCACCAGCTAACGTTATTTAATAAACCACAGTCACGTGTCAAGCCAGAAGAAAATATGATAAGCAACATGCAGTAAAATACTTATTTTGAATTTTTTTCGACACTGTGCACTTGTGAACCACTAATCACCGGGCGACTATTAACGGTCATGGCGGCGCGTCGCACGATGAATGAACGAGTGTGATTGGTCAATTAGAAAAGTGAATTTCGCTGGGTACCCCGTCTTACCCACTACCCCGTCTTACCTCCCTCTCCCCTATATTTCTATTTTCGCTAATATTTGTAAAATCTGAAAGGCAGATGTTAAGTCAGCAAACTATAATTACTATAAATTATATTTACTTATGTACTATACTTTACTTTAAGTTTTGATTAACTGTTCTCTTTTTATTCATTATTTTGCTCACTTTGTACCAAATCTAAGCAATTATGAACTCACGTCCACTAACTACAATGACAAGCCGATCCTTCTAATTTGGCCTCTATTACTCCTGGACACTTCCTTATATGCCTATGGCCTAGTGAAGACTTTACTACCATCACCTGTCACTGAACTAAGCAGCATATTTGTTACTACTAACTGAACGCTTGCACCTACATTTCTGGTCTATTTGGACTGAAGATTGATTAACTTTAAATATTACTGCAAGTGGTAAACTCAACAGTGTTATTTTAAACTTTATGATCTCATCTTACTGATGGATAATTAACTACTCTTCTAAAATATCATTTGGAATGTATTCAGCACCTATACCAACTAAGAACTTAATGGATCCTCAGCAAAGAATCTCAAGAGCCTCTTGAAAGTGACACTTTCAGGGGGGGAATATGTTAATACTCATAGTACTAACATCGCGCATACTGCCATGGTGCGTTCATCAATCCTACTGCGCAGGCCCTGTCGTCTTTGTATGGGGCGTAAAGAATACCTAAGGGGGGCAGACTTATAATAATAATAATAATAATTTTTATTTTGCATCTAATATTTACAATTGAAATTGTTCCCTGGTACCTAAATGTTAAGTAGAAACTTGTATTTTAATTATAGTTACCTCTTACATACAATTCACAATGTTTGGAATTACAATGTTATAAAAAGACAATTAAATTTATAACACAATTTTATCATTATTTACTTGCAAAGTGTATGCAATGTGTGTGTGTGTGTGTGTGTGTGTGTGTGTGTGTGTGTGTCGTGTGTGTGTGTGTTGTGTATGTGTGAGAGAGAGGATAAGAGAAGAAGAAGGAGAGATAAATATTAATACCAATACTAATACGGGGACACTAGTGTTTCACAGTTTTCATATTCAAGTGGTTTTAGCCATTTCAAAATAATCTTTTTTATATCATGATTAGATTTATCCTTTAATTTATCATTATCGTTGCCAGCAAGTGCATTGTATAACCGAGGTGCTATATAATTAAATTGCTTCTTTGCAAATGTTGTTTTCACAAATGGAATTGAATATTTAAATTTTCTAATAATGCGTTTTGGTTCACATGTTATTGCTGGCACAGTTACACGATGATATCGTCTTAAACACTGATATATGAACATTTTACGCACTGACAAAACATCAGCATGTTCGTATACCAGCGTTGTAGGATATCTATATGGTAGTGAAAACATAACTTTAATCACCGCCCTTTGGGCTCTCTCAAGTTCAATTAAATATGATTTTGAGGCACATCCCCACATATGTTGCTATTATTAGAGATTCTATTATCCAGTTATGATATTATTTCAAAGGGCAACTCAGTAACATTTTAAGAATATCATAATGGTATAATTAATTATCATTTAGAAATTATACCAGAGCTTTTCTCCTAGTCCATCAAAAATAAAATAAATGTATATTAAGGGCGGCATACTGAAAAAATAGGCTAAAAATTATAACTAAATAATTTATGTAAAATACGTAAACCAATGAAAATTATAATTATAAAATAGGATTAAACCAATAATCTTTCATTTTTGGAATTTCTAATATTATAATTACGGATTTATTTAATATCTATGAGATATATATAGAATATATATAATATAACTAAAATGGATAAAAAGTTACTACTTTTATATTCATTTTAGTTATTTTTTGCTGACTGCTGGCATCTCAGAAAGTTTATGCCCGCCATCTTACGTCGTAATAATTTTTTGAATTTCTGTTTGAACTTTTCATCTTTTGTTTTATTACTGGATATTTCACCATCTTTTACAGTTCTACCCTTACGTTGAGTTGAATCTTTATAGATTCCTCCGTAATTGTTAGACACATGTATTTAGTTTGTGTTTATCCTGGTAATAAACTATAATTCGTGACTTTCTTGTTATTTCGTTTAAATTATTAAGTTAGTAACTCTGTAATTGGTTGGACCGTTGTTTTACAATGAAGGAGAACAAGAGGAAGTGCCTTAAGTGTGGTTCATCGTCTGCCGATAATCCTGAGACAGTATTATTTAGGTTTCCAAAACGACAATATCTCTTAATTAT